AAGAGATCGTGGCTGTGCTGCGCACGCTGCACTCGCTCGGCCAGTGGAACAGCCTCATAAATGATTACATCAACACCCAGCTGGACAACATCGGCGATATTATGGCCGGCTGCCAGTCTGAAGCCGTAAGAGTTGCCGCTTTTATAGTTTCAGCTGATTAATCCAGTCAGAATAAAAGGGTTTCATGGAACTTTTCCTTCTCGCTGATTTCATCCCAGTGTTTCCTGGAAGAGTACTTTCCTGACTCGGACGGTCCCCGGGTCTGCAGCCTGATGGCGGTGCTGGCTGTGATCGGCGGGATCGACGGGCGCCTCAGGCTGGGCGGGCAGGTCGTCCACGAGGAGTACGGAGAGGGAACGGTGATGCGCATCACCCCAAAAGGACGCATCACGGTCCAGTTCCACGACATGAGAACCTGCAGGGTTTGCTTGCTCAGTCATCTCAAACCGGTATGAGAAACGTTTAATTGCTTCTCTGTTCGCAGAACAGACAAACAAGCAAATTAATTTTATCTGCTGACCGTTTTCCTCAGCTGCCTGGCGTGGCCTTCAGTGTGCAGAACCTGCCTCTGAATGAGCCCATGTTGGCCGTTTGGGCTCAGCTGGTCAGCCTGGCTGGCAGCAAACTGGAGAAGCAGCGCATAAAGAAGTCCCTCAGCCGAGGACTCACAGGTACAGGAGGCAACACTTTGTAGCTGCGTTTCCATTGGCTGTAGAATTAGACAAAATGGGGGATCTGTGGTGGCGCAGCGGTCATTTTTAATGACTTATTGCATGAAATGGCATACTCATGTGTGATGTTAATTTAAGGAAAACACCGAAATTGCTACTTTTTTTTTTAAGACATTAGCAGAATATAGACAAAAATTTACACACATTTGTAATCAAAACGCTGTTACTGTCAAACTGATCTGCTTACGTGACTCTAAGTAAGCAGATATTCAACAGGCATTTTTAAAAAATAGTTTGGTAATGGTAAAGTTTGATTGATGTATTGATTATATCTAATGATGTTTGCAGCTGACCAGGTGGACATCCACCTCCTGCGCTGCCAGCAGCTGAGGCTTTACATTTTAAAAGCAGGCCGAGCTCTGCTGTCCCATCAGGACAAACTGCGACAGATCCTCTCCCAGCCAGCAGTGGTTGACATGGGACCCATCCCCAGCGGTAACATATTGATATATATTATTGATTTATTGCCCGGTCCTAACTTTAAGCTTTTTTTTGGGAAGATTTAGTGTTTTCTTTTTGTTTGAAACAATCATTGCTATTGAAAGGAAATTACGTTTAGTTAACAGAAAATGTATTTTCATGCTGTGAATTATTTTTTTAATGTCTAAGTGAAGCACTTCATTCCTTTTCTACAAAGTGCCTACTTCTAAAGAGTTTTTGTGAGAATAAATACAGGTACATTTAGCCCGCCGCTGAGCAGATATGTGACATGACAGTGTGATTTTGCTGAATTTTTAAACCCAGACGATCCGGTGGCGACGTCCTCCGATGTCGGGGACTTGTCTCCTGAGGGCCCGCTGCCCCCTCTGATCCTGCTGCAGCAGCTCCTGGCTGCTGCCACTCAGCCCTCGCCTATCAAAGCCATTTTTGACCGACAGGAGATGGAGGTACATGAGCAGACTTTACTTCAATCAGCTGGTCAGCAGTAAATCTCACCTAGCTATGTGCACTGCATTCAGTTTGACCTCTGCTTGTACCTGTGTGTGTGTGTGTAGGCAGCAGCTCTGGCCGTGTGTCAGTACCTGGCCGTGGAGTCGGCCCACCCGTCCTCTCCGCTGTTTGAGGAGAGCAGCTCCAGTGAGGCCACCACGCCCGTCACCATACAGCATGTCAGACCCCCCAAGCAGAAGAAGCAGAAGACCTCCCCTGTGCCTCCCTTACCCATCGTCCTCCAGCTGATGGAAATGGGCTTCCCAAGGAAAAACATAGAGTTTGCCTTGAAGTCTCTGTCTGGCACCACAGGCGGTACCTCTGGTGTCCCAGGTAGAGCGTCACGCCGCGTATCGTTTCATTAAATGTATAAAGGCTTTTAAATGTGCATCTTGATCGTAACTGAGCTCATGTGTCAGGCGTGGAGGCGCTGGTGAGCTGGCTGCTCGACCATCCTGACGTCCACTTCACCGAGCTCTCCGATGCCGACACCGTGTCCGATGAATACTCGGACGAAGAGGTGCTGGAGGAGCTGGAGGAGGCAGAGCCGACCTTCTCCGTTGTACGTTTACTTTTTTTCTTGAATTTACACGTCTTTTTGTCTATTAAAGCTGGGGTATGTAACTTATAAAAAAATATTCTTTTTACATATTTGTTAGAATATCACCATGTTGGGACTGTATAGTATGAGACAGATAATCTATGAAAAGATGGAACTTCTCCAATTCTTCCCAGTGCTACTATTGCCATCTGCAGAAAAACGACACTCGGTCAGAAATTCTTGGGAGTTCTATGACAAAAGAGTGTGTGTGTGTATATATATATATATATATATATATATATATATATATATATATATATATAAAATGATAAAGGTATCATTCTGGAGAAAATCTCAACATCAATATTTCCACTAAATAAGAGGCAAAAAAAGTAGTTTGATACAGGAAAAGCCTCTCTGACTCTGAGCTCAAAGCGAGATGCCCAAACCATCCATCCATTCTCTATACACCCTTGTCCCTAGTGGGGTCAGGAAGGGTGCTGGTGCCAATCTCCAGTGAAATGCCCAAACTATTTGTTTTAAAATATTAGACAGTTAATTTAATTTCACATAATTGTCGCGGTAGAAGCCATTCAGCGAATCTGTTGGTTCAGATTGGTTGTTTTTGATTGGGACAGGTGGATTGTTTCAGATGGCAATTGCGACACTGGGAGCAAGTGGAGGAGCTCCTTTTTTATGCCTGCCTAAAATTGTCCTGACATTGTGACAGATATGTAAAAATATATATATATTTTGGTAAAGGTTACATACTACAGTTTTAAGTGCTGTTCATGACAGGAAGCACTGACAGATTTCTCCTCTCTGCTACATTAGCCTGCGGGGGCAGTGGTGACTGAAAGCCAGACTTTTAAGAAGAGGTCAGATTTCCAAACCAACGATGATTATGCCGTCTACGTGAGAGAGAACATTCAGGTAATGTTCTCCCTGAGCAGAGTTGTTTAAACTGCATCAAGGGATGAATTAATCTAATGACGGGGATATTTTTGACTTCCCCGCAGGTGGGGATGATGGTGAAGTGCTGCAGAACATATGAGGAAGTGTACGAAGGAGACGTAGGGAAGGTGATCAAGCTGGACAGAGACGGACTTCATGACTTGAACGTGCAGTGCGACTGGCAACAAAAAGGAGGAACGTACTGGGTTCGCTACATCCACATTGAGCTGATTGGTACGCGTTTGCTCATTTGAAGGAAACTTGAAAATAGTTAAGTATAACGACGTGTGGCGTTTTTTCATCCTTCGCTTGTATTTCCAGGTTTCCCACCTCAAAGTTCACCCTCTCACATAAAAATTGGTGACAAAGTTAGGGTGAAGCCCACAGTTACGACGCCAAAGTACAAATGGGGCTCAGTAACACACAGGAGTGTCGGGGTAGTGAAGGGTAGGTCTGATTTGGCTTTAAGGTGTGTGATCTCTGTCTTGCATCGTTTCGAACTAAACTCTGCTCACAGCTTTCAGCGCCAATGGAAAGGATGTGATTGTAGACTTCCCACAGCAGTCCCACTGGACTGGTCTGCTGTCTGAGATGGAGCTGGTGCCCAGTGTTCACCCTGGAGTCAGGTAACTTATAGTCCAGATAATCCGGTAGTAGCACTGGAATTTCGTCAGGAGCTGAATACAAATTCGGCACACTTTTCAGATCTTTGAAAACATTTGAAAACCATGTATCATTTGTATTTTCTTTCACCATTATGAACCATTTTGTGTTGGTCTGTCACATAAAATCCTGGTAAAATACATGGAATGCTTTTTATTGTAATTTGGGAAAATGTAAAGCCGTTTCATACTTTTTCCTCTTACTGCATCTCTCCGCGCTATTAAAACGTCTTGCTGCCTGCAGGTGTGACGGCTGTCAGATGTTTCCCATTAACGGCCCGAGGTTCAAGTGCAAAAACTGTGACGACTTCGATTTCTGCGAAAGCTGCTTCAAGACGCGCAAACACAACACCAGACATTCCTTCGGCCGGATCAACGAGCCCGGTCAGTCCCGCTTCCCCGCCGACGTAGCACCCGTCCTGCACGTCGTTCGGTGTTTGAGTCGTATAACATTCTTCCTGTCCCTCTCGCCGCCGCCAGGTCAGTCTCCAGCTTTTTGTGGTCGTTCAGGCAAGCAGCTCAAGAAGCACCACAACAGTCAGCGCGGGATGCTGATCGATGACTGGTCCCGTGCCGTGAAGAGCCTCAACGTGTCGTCCTCCGTCAACCAGGCGTCCCGCCTCATTGACTGCAGCGATCAGTGCTGGCAGTCCTCCGGCTCACAGGGAAAGGTGAGCTGTGGCTCGACATTATTACAGCTTGTCAGTTTAAACTTTGTCCCGATCAGGATTTTTCTTTTTTTTTTCTGAAAATACTGGCATCAATTAAGAGTATTTTAGTCAATCAAGAGTACTCTTACGTGACCGATTGTCATGTCTGTCATGTACAACATAAAAATCTATACTGTTTTTTTTTGTTTTGTTTTTATTCTGTTACATTATTTTGTTCTGTCCACTTTCTGGTGTCGCAGCTTAAATGTCCCACTTTTGGGACTAAAAGGAATATCTTATTTTTCCTTAATTTATATTATATTTAATATTAATTAAATATAATTCAATTACCTCATATGATCAATATTAGTTGATCATATAGCCAAATATGATCAACTAACAGTCAAAATCATAGTTGATCATATAGTGCTAAGCTAATGCTAGCATTTAATTCTCTGTTTTGATATAACTTGCCAATAATTCAACATATTGGTGTATTTTCAGTTAACCCTTTTCAGGCAGAACAACTACAGAATGTTTGTTCTTTTTTTTCCTGCTTCATGAACTTAGAACTTTGAGCGTCACACAGTTTAAAGACTTGAGGTTTCAGCTGCTTTCTGCACATCTCTTTACTACACCAATAACTTTATCTAGATAGCTGTGTTGAGCTGATGGCATCAAATTAAAAAAAAATTTTCTGATAAAATTAGATTGCACCAATTACCGATGCCAGAGGTTGATTCTAATCGGGGACACTGACACCGAACATTTAAATTTGACACGATGTGGGACATCTGCAGCTTAGAACATGTAGGATTTCCGGTGTATTTTTTATTTTTATTTCTTTTTTGAAGCACTGGATTCGTCTCGAGCTTTTCCCAGACGTTCTGGTCCACAGACTGAAGATGATCGTAGATCCAGCAGACAGCAGCTACATGCCCTCACTGGTGGTGGTTTCAGGTGACTGCTGATGAATGTTAAATACAAATAAATTCTTACCCGTTTTGCTTGGAACTGTTTCCTGTTTGATTTCTCTTCATAATTGTTAACTTGGTTATTTTGAGGCGCTCCCAACCGTCTTTGAAATACACTGTTGGAATTAAACGAAGAATAAAAAATATGTTGACATCGATGCAGATATGAGGTTTAGTATCGGCCGATACAGAAAAATGGAGCTGAATCAACTTGAAAACGTATCTTTTTGTTTGTTTTTTTTAACATGGACAAAAATGTATTGAATTACAAATTTGATAACTCTGCACCAGTAAAGAGCACTAATATCTTCAAAAGCTTAGTCAGATCTGTCTAACAACACAACTTGAATTTGTTCATTCAGTGCAATTCGGAGTATAACGGCTAATAAAAACATAAATTAAGAAATCGAAACTGACAAATACAGTTGGTTTACTCCTGTGGTCAAACATGTAAAATATAAACTATGACAAACTTTGAAATGGTTCAGAAAGTGGAATTATGAATTCTAAATTTCATGTCGGATAAATAATAAAGCGGGTCACTCAGAGCACAGCATAGAATTAGACTGACTAGATCTGTCCGTGTGGATCAGTCGCCTGATCAGGAATTAGTTTCAATATCTGGACCGATACAGATATTAATATCAGATCGGTACGTCTCTCTTCAAAACTCACAATCTCTTCCTGATATGCATTTCCTCTCCTGCCCCCTTTCTGTTCTAACTTAAGATGGTGTGAGCAGCAACGTTTGCTGAACTTTTTTTTTTTTTTTGCTCTTTTACCAGGTGGAAACTCTCTGAATAATTTAATCGAGCTGAAGACGATTAACATCAACCCCACAGACACCACCGTCCTCCTGCTTACTGACTGCACCGAGGTTGGTAAACTTCCAGATGTTCTTATCGGTCATTTCCTTGAGTTTTGTAAAAAAAATTTTTTATTTATTTTTTTTTTTTAACTACGTCTCACCCATCAGTTTCACAGATACATTGAGATTGCGATCAAGCAATGCCGCAGCTCGGGTATAGACTGCAAGATTCACGGACTTCGCATGGTGGGACGCATCAGAGCCGAGGATGAGGACCTGGCCACAGTGCCCTTCCTGGCGTCCGACAACGAAGAAGAGGAGGATGAGAAAACCACGGCTGGAAGGTGAGACGGCTCACACTTCTTACTGACGTAACCAACATGCTTCTCTTATTTATTTGATGATTGAGGTGGTGGTGTTTTGTTTTTTGTTTTTTTTTCTTTTGCTACAGTCTCGCTCGGAAGAAGTCACCAGGCCTGGAGTCGGCAGCCACCATCAGGACCAAAGTGTTCGTTTGGGGGCTGAACGACAAGGACCAGCTGGGAGGACTGAAGGGCTCAAAGGTGCAGTTTAAATAATCAATTGTCCTTCCACTGCAAAAGCACAAAATCTTACCAAATATTTCTCATCTAATTTCTAGTGCAAATATGTTGGTACACTTAAAATACGACAAATCTCACCTACAGGAAATATAATCTTGTTTTACGTTAATAATTCTTTAATTCTCATAAGAAGTGCTGCTTTTAAGTGAAGCAATCTGTCAGTGGAACAAGACATTTTTCCCTTACTGTGACTTATAATATATGAAAATGTCTACTCTCTCTGGTGAAAAGTGAAAACTCAGATTTATCAACATTTTTATCTTGTATACCAATGTGTTGTAAAATAGGTTATAATCTAAATATTAAGCAGTATTGATAAAGAAGTAGCAATTATTCTAAGAATATCGTAGCATCTTTAGTGCTACGGCATTGACAGTGTTTTGTTAAACTCTTCACTGATCATTTTCAAACTAGTAACTCAGGCTGTATTGTGATCAAACAAGGTTTGTTTGAATTGAAGACGTTAATTTCTAAAAACAATCCATTTTCTTCTACTTAACAATTGTGAACTATTTTGTGTTTTCTGCATTATAAAATCCCAATGAAATACAGACCCATTCAATAAATAAAAACAATTGTTAAAACTTCAATTTTAAAGTGAAACATATTTTATAGGGTAACTACACACAGATAAATGTTTGAAAGACTTTATTTGCATGCCTATGATTAAAAAAGACATTTTTAATACAGAAATGTGGACTTAAAGCAACACATGTTCAACACCTGTTTAAAAATGTTCATTTTTATAAAGTTTTTTTACTCTGATAATTCAGTCTCTGTACATTAGTTTGTTGCTGTGACAAAATGCCGAACATTTCGAGTGTTATATATCAGTTTGCTTGGCATTGCGTGTCTCTTTAAGGCCCTTTAACTCGTGCTGTGTACGTTCTCTGCAGATCAAGGTCCCCTCCTTCTCTGAAACCCTCTCTGCTCTCAACGTGGTGCAGGTAGCCGGCGGTTCCAAGAGTCTCTTTGCAGGTAAAACGGGGAGGAAAACCTTTATTTTCTCTTTAGCTCCTTCTGAATTATGTTTTGACCGCTGATCCACGTTCGCAGTGACCGTGGAGGGAAAGATCTACGCCTGTGGAGAGGCCACCAACGGCCGGCTGGGTCTGGGCCTCTCCAGCGGGACCATCCCCATCCCCCGTCAGATCACGGCGCTCAGCAACTACGTGGTAAAGAAGGTGGCCGTGCATTCTGGCGGGCGCCACGCCATGGCGCTGACCGTGGACGGGAAGGTGTTTTCCTGGGGGGAAGGAGACGACGGCAAGCTGGGGCACTTCAGCAGAATGTGGGTTTTTATTGGAAGCGTCATTTCTGTCTGTGAGGAATTCAAAACGCTGAAGAAGTGTCTGACCTCTCCCTCAGGAACTGTGATAAGCCCCGGCTGATCGAGGCTCTGAAGACCAAGCGCATCCGGGACATAGCCTGCGGCAGCTCCCACAGCGCCGCCATCACCTCCAGCGGGGAGCTGTACAGCTGGGGCCTGGGGGAATATGGCCGCCTCGGACACGGGGACAACACCACCCAGCTGAGGCCCAAACTGGTACGTGTGCCTCCTTTACTGGGTCGTCACCTTACAGAGCGTGTAAGGTGATGTTGAAATGAGTCAGATTTTTGTAGATTTTGTTTTGCACAATGTCCATTCATGCATAGACCTGTCGTAACAATCAGTGAATCAATAAAATATAAATCACAAGATAAATTAAACTACATAATTTCCATCTGCATGTTGTTTTTTTCTCTTTTCTTTTCTCTCTACTTCCCAAAATGGATGATAAAATTCTTCATTCTAGTGATTTGGTCTCAACCATTCCTCCTTCTGAATGACAATTTTATTTACAGAGACTTCATAATTAATTTTATTTATTGTTTTTATTTATTTTAGATATTTAACATTTTTTCCAGTTCAAGTTAAATCTTCAATAGTATTTAAAGTTGATTGAGCTTTGAGAATGTGTTCTTGCATTATTGTGCCATTAAAAATTATCACTTAAGCAGTCTCAAAACGATATTATCGTTTATCGCAATAACGGGCAGCTCAGGACCGATGATGTGCTTGTGTTTTTGTGGTGCAGGTGAAAGTGCTGCTGGGCCACAGAGTCATCCAGGTCGCCTGCGGGAGCCGGGATGCTCAAACTCTTGCTCTGACTGATGAAGGTATCCCTGTTCAACACACCAACCTTTTGTCTACTTTGGCCAAATAGTTGATTGAACATTTTAGGTGTAAGATTATGTAACGTCAGACAGAGACCATGCACTTTCTTTAGCCACTAAGAAGCTCCTAGCATAATTATGGTTTAATATCTGACCACTCTGCTTATCTAAAACAGTGAAGTTTGATCCATTTCTTGGCATAGACGTGGATTTTATCATAGTTTGTAACATTTTTAATAGGGTTAGGATCCAGGTCCAGAAACTTGACGGCTTATTTCATGAAGTCCAAAACAAGCAGTGGAATCATTGTTTGGTATTTACACCATACTATGTCCAAAGTTTCAGTCATCTGAACCAAACTGTTCCCTCTAATGATATGAAATTGTTCAGGACGTTAAGGAACAAACAAAGATTCACTAAAGGAGCGATATTATGTATATTTCAGGCACATAAACCCATTTTACACACAATCAAGTAGCTATTAAAGAAGCAGGTGTTAAAAAATGCCATATCTAATTTCATGTTGGATATGAAATTTTTTTCATATCCAACATGAAAGAAATTTGACTTCACAGTTTGACTCTTTGAAATTGCCCCCTGTCTCTTTAAGAAGCTCCTACACTTTTTGACAATAATCATTTTAACCTTGTGTGGATGTGAAAAAATTCACATCAAATTCAAACTTGGTCACCTCGTTTTAGGCATCAAAGTTTATCAAATATGTACGTCTTATCATCATCCCAAACTAGAAAAAGATTTGTTGCTATTCCATCGCCATGGACACTGCACACGTTTCTGCATCACTTTTTTTTTTTAAACCGACTTAGAGAAAACAAGCTGAGTTGCATTTGCATCCGTTTTTGCCAGGCTTGGTGTTCTCCTGGGGCGACGGGGACTTTGGGAAGCTCGGCCGTGGCGGCAGCGAGGGCTGCAACATTCCCCAGAACATAGAGAGGCTCAACGGACAGGGAGTCTGCCAAATCGAGTGCGGGGCGCAGTTTTCCCTGGCTCTGACCAAATCTGGAGGCGTCTGGACCTGGTAAGACTACCAAACGTTACTGAGAAGATCAAACATCATTTATCCATATTGACGGGGAAAATTCATGTTGTCTTTTTTTTTTTCCCTTCCTCCAAACAGGGGCAAAGGTGACTACTTTCGATTGGGCCACGGTACCGATGTCCACGTACGGAAGCCCCAGATGGTGGAGGGACTGAGAGGGAAAAAGATCGTCCACGTCGCCGTTGGAGCTCTGCACTGTCTGGCTGTTACAGACACAGGACAGGTTGGTAGTAATCACTGCAGATCTGCTTCTGTCTCGGCTTTACGCTGTACCGTCCTGCATGAGGTTTAAATGGAAATGCTTTGGAGTAACGTCTTGTGTTTCTGTCAGGTGTATGCATGGGGAGACAATGACCACGGCCAGCAGGGAAACGGCACCACCACCGTTAACAGGAAGCCCACCCTGGTTCAGGGCCTGGAGGGACAGAAGATCACTCGAGTGGCGTGTGGCTCTTCCCACAGCGTTGCCTGGACAACCGTGGATGTGACCACGCCCTCGGTTCACGAGCCGGTCCTCTTCCAGACTGCCAGGGACTCCCTGGGAGCCTCCTACTTGGGTAATTCCTCCTTTCCATGTGTGAAGCTATCAAGTCTCTATGGGGATGAAGGGGAACAGTCGTCATCTGCTTCTCTTTTGGTTGCATTTAAAGTAGTGGTGAGATTCAATTAAAATTTTTAATAGAATCAATGACATTGTCTGTAACTGTGCATTGAGAAAATAAGCCACATGTTCAATTTAAAAACCCTTTTTGCTGCTAAATTATCGGATAAATGGACAACAGCCAAGATATTTATTGTTTTCAATTTGTTATTTAGGTTTTTCAACGATCAGATTGGTGCAAAGTTTTATTATGTCCATTTAGCTTTCAAGTGTTTGAGGAACTCCTGATCATTCATGGGTCTTTAGAAACATGGACTGTAGACGCCGACATTGGGGACGTCTGTGCTGCTGCGACACGTTTAGCATTGATATGCTATTTTAGGCTTGAATTTTTAGCAACAACTTGAACACAACAATAGTGTTTTCCAGCATCCAATCAGATCGTTTTTGAAGCAAGAAATTAGAGTACATGATACTAAAATAGCAAACTCTTGAGTCTTTTTTACTCAAAAACAGCTTTGTAACAAAGTTCTTTCACTGAGTAAAGTTTTCTTTGAGCTTCCAACAGATTTACCAGACCTGGGTCAATCTGAACATTGTGATTTGGACCACATTTAGTCCAGTCGTCCAATCTGGTGCAGCTGTTCTGTCCTCGTAAAAATCGTCTTGCCTCGCTTTGTTCTGGTTTTCCAACACTGCAGGCGTCCAGTCAGAATGCGACTCGTCGACGGTGAGCAACAAGATGAGCGGGCAGAGCAGCGCCAAGCCCAACCGACCCTCGCTGGCCAAGATTCTCCTGAGTCTGGACGGCAACCTGGCCAAACAGCAGGCTCTGTCCCACGTTCTGTCGGCTCTGCAGATCATGTATGCGAGGTACGCTGTCTCCAGGGACCTAAAACTCCCACAAACAACGGGAGTCGGCCGTATTTCCGCCTGTTGGGGCCGTAGCAGCAGTTATCGTCGGCTCTGACGGGATGTGCGATGTTGTTGCCCACAGGGATGCGGTGGTTGGTGCTCTGATGCCAGCCAGCATGATCCTGCCAGCAGAGTGTCCGTCCAGCTCTCCCATCCCCCTGCTGGACTCCTCCTCATCCTCCTGCGTCAGCGACGAAGAATGTCCCCCCGTTCCCGCAGAAGCCGAAGAGCGGGTCAGCCCCAACCCCTGGCAGGACAAGAAGGGCGAGGTCAGGAACACCAAACCAGAACGTTTCATCTTCATTTCATGCGGATAATTTCCTGTTTAAAGCACGGAAAGGTTTCTGATTGGACCAGAGTTTAGTTTTTGAGAGCGGGACGTTTTCTGTGTTTGTGCGTGATCAGGCTCCATCCTCGGAAGACGCAGTGACCCCGTCGTCAGCCGTGACTCCGTCAGCCTGCGGAGCCTCGGCCCGTCCCTTCATCCCCGTCACAGATGACCCAGGAGCGGCCAGCATCATCGCCGAGACCATGACCAAGACCAAAGAGGTCAGCTACTATATGTCTTCCTCTCCGTTTATCCACCCTTCTGTTCGTTTCGTCATCCATTCATTCATCCATCTATCGACCAATCCAGTTGCCTCATCAGCAGTCATTAAAATCCCATGTGAATTAATGGTGGGCAACATGGACTTAAATTTTTAGCATGATAAATTGTGGTAATGTTGTGATGGTGGTAAAAGTGACAATAAGAACTATTTTTATTACTTTTTTTAGTTAAGTGTATGGCTCTGACCTTTGCTGCATTTTCTTTACGCAAAGCTTTCAGTGTTATAATGACAAAAACATAATTTCGCAGTTCCATTTTTCCAATAAATGAAAGCAATTAAAATTAAACGTGAATAAGTTTGTTTATACGATAATTCATTTAAAACAACTTGCCACTGCATCATCATCTTACTACTTCCTGTCATGTTCTTCGTGGTTTGCGCCAGCGGCAACATCTGGTTGGCGACCATGTGACTCGTGTGATGCGAAAAAAAGTGTTTCCATTGCAGTTTTGCGAAGTAAAATAATTTCAGTGCAACGGAAAAACCACCTCATCATAGCACCAAAACTTAATAAATGAGTTTTTTAAATTTTAAATTGGTATGTTTCCATTAAGCAAATTTACTTTCAAAATGTCAGATTGCACAATCACGTGGCCGATGCAAATTCAGCTCTTGTGATATGATGTATGTAATAGTTTAAGGAAACTATTACAAATAACTTCACAGAACCCGACTTCAGGAAATCCAAGCAGAACCTTTCAGTATCGACTAAAACGGGAACCACGAGAACTGTGGTCTAGAATTTTATCATAAACGTGTGTGAACCCTGATTTTTTTGTATTTTTTTCTGTTGAATGTTTTCTATCAGGACTCTGAGAACCAGAGTAAGGTCACAGGTCCCGAGCCTCAGTACCTGGACGAGTTCACCAGTCTCCTCGTTCCTGACGACACACGGGTGATTGTGGACCTGCTGAAGTTGGCCGTGTCCTGTCGCTCCGGGGACAAAGGGAAGGAGGTTCTGTCGGCCGTGCTGTCTGGCATGGGGACGGCTTATCCACAGGTAACACAGCGGATCCTCCCAACTCAGATGGACGGGTTTCAGGGTTTGTCATCCTCACGTTCTCTCTGTGTGGCTCAGGTTGCAGACATGCTGCTGGAGCTCTGCGTCACCGAACTGGAAGACGTTGCGACAGACTCGCAGAGCGGCCGCCTGTCCTCCCAGCCGGTCGTCGTGGAGAGCAGCCATCCGTACACCGACGACACGTCCACCAGCGGGACTGTCAAGATCCCAGGTACGAATGCATCCCAAGGTGAAGAATCACTTTAAAGCAGGGCTGCAGCAATTAATCGGATTAATCGCGACGAATCAATTAGTGAAATAATCGTCCACTGATTTAGTAACTGATGAGTCGTTAACTGGATTATGCACTCAAAAACCTGCCATTAAGAGCAGAACAGACATTAAACCTGGACTGCACCAAAAATTTATACTTTCTATTTAGGATAAGAATAAGACAGCCGTTGTCTACAAATATGTTCTACCCAAAACTCCACAAATGGGTTGATTTAACTTAACCCCGTTCAAATTCTTTAAAAAAAAATCTCCTTTTAAGCATCTTTTGCTGTACAATTAGTTAATTTAAATAATAAACAGATCCATTCTGCACGGTATTGATAAGTCGAGCAGAAAGGCCTGAGGTTCTCACATTTTGATGTTGGCTTTTTTTTTTAGCTGCAGATGTTTTCACCAAAGGAACGCTGTTGTAGCATTTTAGGCAAATAAGTTTGTTTTTCTTATTTAGAAATGATATAATGTGTTTACACTGTTTAAAAAGACTTAATTACTAAAATAATTGTTAGTTGCAGTGCTACTTTAAAAGCCTAATAAACCACCTCCACTTTGTTTGGAAGGTGCTGAGGGTCTAAGGATAGAGTTCGACCGGCAGTGTTCAACCGAGCGGCGCCACGATCCGCTAACCATCATGGACGGAGCCAACAGGATTGTCTCCGTCAGATCGGGTAATCGGAGGACGATGCTTCACCTCAGTGCAACACAAAGGAAGACATGAATGAATCAAAAAATAATGCTGTGCATATTTCAGGTCGAGAGTGGTCTGACTGGTCCAGCGAATTAAGGATCCCAGGAGATGAACTCAAATGGAAGTTCACCAGTGACGGATCGGTGAACGGCTGGGGCTGGCGCTTCACCGTCTACCCTATCATGCCGGCTGCTGGTGAGCCGACATTTTTATTTACCAGTTCAAACGACAAAAGATTTATTAATGGAAGAAGATTACGGCCATTGAAAAAACAAACAAACTGACTTTTTGTCTCAGAATAAGAATTATTTTAAAAGTATGCTCATTAGACAGACGTAGTTTTAAAACTGGGACGAGCTTTTAGCAGGGATAAAGAGCAGCTTAACAAATCCTACAGCCAGGACTTGTTAATCTGCTTTATAACAAGACCTGTAAGTCTTGATATAAATGCCAAAATTGTTACAAATATTGTCATTCATAATATGTAATACTATGCAATATTAATCACATAATATGCAATTAATATTAATCATATACTAATATGTGATTAATATTTCCATATATTAATCACATATTGGTATATATGCTATTAGTATATGATCACATATATAATGTAATCATTATATATGTGATCATTATAATGTCATATAATGATCACATATATAATGTGATCATTATATGACATTATAATGAT